ATCAACACCGGCAACCCGAAAAACAGGAGCTGGGTCAGGAGAATATTTACCACTCAGTTTTCATACTTTTTTCCAGACTGCACTTATAGAGGAAGCAGAGGTGATGGTGGAGACATAATCTCGCCAGCAAGTGCATTTAGCGTCACGGATGACACGGCGAGTGATCGCACGCTTCTGCTTAAAATCAAGAAGTCTCTCTGTGGTTCTATTGTACCGGTACCTGCCCCATGCAGCACGTTTCAAACGTACTGCACGAGCACAAGCAGGAGACCACCAAGGCACGCATTTCTGAGAATGCCTGCCCGAAGTTTGGGGTATAGAATGAGAAGCTGCGGTTAAAATGGAGGATGAGAAGAGGTGTAAAAGCTCATCGATGGAGGACGAAGAAGGAACCTCTCTAAAAACAGTTAGGTGTGAGTAAAGGTTCCAATTTGCCTGATCAAATTGCCAGCGTGGGATGCGAAGAGGTGGTGAATATGAAGGGGAAGTAAGAATGATTGGGAAATGATCGCTGTCATGTAAGTCCGGAAGAACAGACCAAGTGAAGTCTAATGCGGCGGAGGAAGAGCAGACTGAGAGATCGATGCAAGAGAGAGTGTGAGTCCGAGGATCAAAATGGGTGTGAGTACCTGTATTTAAAACATGGAGGGGGTGGGTGGCAAGAAAAGCCTCTAACTGAATGCCACGGGAATCACAGTGAGACCCCCCCCAGAGGAAATGGTGGGCATTAAAATCACCAAGTAACAGAATCGGTGGTGGTAATGACGAAACAAGAAAGGCAATATCCTGAATAGATAATGCCCGAGAAGGAGAGAGATATAAAGAACAGAACGTATACCACCTATGCAAGTGGATACGGGCTGCTGTGTAATGCAGAGAAGTACGAACAAATAGCTGATGGTACGGAATATCAGTGCGTAGAAGAAGGGCACTTTCATTAAAGGTCCCATCAGGAAAAGGATCTGAAGAATACAATAAATTATAGCCTGAGATGGGAGAGATAACAGCAGAGTGTAATTTTGGTTCCTGTAAGCAAACACCAACAGGGGCAAACTGGGAGAGTAACATCTGAAGCTCACCCCGATTACCCCTGAGGCCGCGTATATTCCACTGTAAATAGGCCATGATTGGCAATGATAAAGATACCTGAAATCCGCAGGTAAGGGTTCCTACGGACTAGAGGGTTAGAAAAGTCCACATGCGGAGGCAGTGGAAAACGTTCAAGCAGCGAAGGAACGGTGCGCTGTGAAGAAAGGAGTTGCGCAGATGGAGTAGAGGAGAGAGAAGGAGCGGAGGGTGGATCAGTGTCCATTGATGGTTTGGTCTCTGCAATATATTCAGAGATTGCTTCAAGTGTTTCAGAATTCAGAGACGTTGTATGGGAGACAATACTGGAAATGGTAGGGGGAGGATGAGTAAAGATTGGAACTGTAATGGACTGTACCAAGGTAGGGGGGGCGAAAGGGTGGAGGGAAATGGAGAAGCGTGGAAGGGGACAGAAGAGGCAGAAACCTGGGAGGTGGCAGAAGAGGAAGAAACTTGGGAGGGAACAGGGGAGGAAGGTACAGTACGAGGAGGAGGGTGAACCTCTACACTTGTAACAGAGCCAGTGAGAGGGGGAGAACCAGGTACAGAGACAGGGAAGGGAAAATGAGGAGGTGGAAGATGGGTAGGTGTTAACGGACCTTTTTTTGACTTTTGAGAAGTAGAGGGACGATTGGGAGGAGGTGTCATACGAGATCTCGTCGCTACTGAGGCTTGTGAGAGAGAACACGAAGGATCGAGATCAGACTGAGATGTTGAAGTAGGGACGTCTGAGCCAAGGACAGCAAAAGAATTAGCTACAGGAGTGACTATGGGAGAGGTAACCACAGAGGTGGGTGCAGAAGATGGGATACCAGAAGTGGGGGGACGTTTTGAAACACGGGAATAAGAAACACGAGGTAGTCTCCCTTGGAGGCGGAGATGAGAAACTGCCATGGCATAAGGGAGACCTTCTGCCTCTTTGAGGTAACGGATTTCCCGCTCGTTTAAGTAGACTTGACAACGGCGAGAGTACGAAGGGTGAGCCTCATGACAATTAAGGCAAGAGGGAGGTCGATTGCAAGACATATTAGAATGGTCATTGGCACCACAGACTGGGCATTCGGCGATAGATCTGCAATATTTCGCTGGATGGCCAAATCGCCAGCAATTTCTACACTGTTGCGGTGTAGGGATCACCTTTCGAACTTGTAACCGATGTCCTGCTACATAAACTGAGAATGGGAGTTCACGGCTGTCAAAAGTTAAACGAGCCACATTGCTAGGGTATCGTCTCCGCCCGCGGGCAGGAAGAACGTAAGTGTCTACCTTGAGGATTGGGAGATCTTGAAGTTCCAGCTGTTCAAGAATGTCAGTGCCACATGTCTGGAAATTTTGTTGAACTATGGTATGGGGCAGAATGACGGTACCACTACAAGAATTGAGGGAATGATGCTTTTCAATAGTTACAGGAACAGTATCGATATGGGAAAGACGAGAAAGCTCATGAGCCTGGGTAGCATTCTGTACGGTGACGATGCGCGTTCCGCTCTTAAGAGCATGAAAAGAAATATCTTTACCAACATGGCATAGGAGTGCCTTGCCAATACTGTGGTCAGAAAGATAGGCAGTAGAGGAAGTCGGTCGTAAAGTGAAGAATTTAGTCCATTGTGCAGTCTGAAACTGAGCGTGGAAAGGTAGTGAAGGACGTGTCGATCTTTTCTGAGAAGAACGAGAAGGTGGAGAAGTATCATCAGCAGGTAATTGTCGTTGGCGTTTAGGCATGGGACCAGAGTTGGTCCAACATGGAACGGGCCGGCGATTTGAAAATTGCCGCACCGTAGAGGGAGAGGCCGGAAGCATAGTCAAGGGAGAGCGAAGGTCAGATAAATTGAAGGAGTCAGTCAAGGCCTCAGTACCTGAAGCATGTGAGGAAACAGCACTGGCAAGAGGTACAGAGGCATGAGGAGTGTCCAAACAGTGGTCCAAAGACGAGGTAGGGTCAGAACGGGGTGCGGTATCAAGAAGGGGCCCGGGGGTAGCAGGTTCATGGACTAGGGCTGCCATGGTTAGGTTACTTCTTTCTTTTTGTTTTTAAGAAAAAAAAAGAAAGAAGAAAAGAAAATAAAAATAAAAAAAAGAATAAAAAAAGGGGGGACCGGGGAGGGATAGTTCCTAGGAGGAATGAAAGGGCCAGAAATCTCCCTCCGCGCCCAAGAGGACCTCAGCACCGCAAGTAGCGCAGATGCAGCATGGAACCCGTGCCACATCCTACCCATCATGCCAGTAAACCGGCAATCCGGGATAGCAACCTCACATCTGCCGAGCTACCTCGGTGGACAAAAGAGAGGGCGGCTGGAAATCCGCCAAAAAGCATACCTCCTTCGGCCACCACCCCGGAATCCGAAAGGTGGCTTCCAGAGATACACCCGTCGCCCGAGAGACACCCAAAGCCACCCTCCGGGATACCGGAGAGGGATCAGGACATCCCCAGGCAATCCAGATTCCATGGCAAACTACGCCACCGCCAAGAACCTCAACGGAATGGGATGGACCCCAGTACCCTTTCCCCTACCTAGGAACTAGCGTGCCTGTGGGAAAAAAAAAAAAAAAAAAAAAAAAACAAAGGCCAAAAAGGAAGGGCAAAAGGGAGGGGTGGGGAGGAGGAGGAGGAAAGGAAAAAGGGGAGGATGGGGAGGATGGGATAGGGAACAGGGGATTGGGGGGTAATTAGGTTCGGTCTGAGGAAGTAGACCGACAGGTCTAATTCCTCAGACCAAGAGCCTCTTCACCACGCCAAGGAGCCCCCCTTGAAGAGGTACACTTACATAATTGGTCGCATTGGGAGGTGATCGTTAAGTGGGGGTCCACTGTATATGCATTTTTTATTACTCCGATTGTCTCCCACCAATCTGGGCTTGTTCAAGAAAGGAAACACGGTCACCATCCTTTATTAAATACCAGTAGATATCTTGCCAGACATGATCAGATGTCACAGTTCACAAGATGCTCTGATTTACATCACAACCATTCCTTCAGATTGCAGGTACTGTACTTCTTGTCTCCAGAACTCAAGCCTGGCTATCCTGTTTCCTTGAATCCCTTCATAAATGTTACTTGGCTCATACTACTTGTGCCCATATAGCATCACTGATATCATTCTCACTGTTATCCAGACTACTGTTACTAGACAATAACACCTGTATTTTCTCTTCCCCCCAAGATAACTTACTAAAGCTATGAATGGCCATCCTTTCCTGTGTAGCACTAACGACATGTATATTTTTTTAATTCAAATAATTTTGGCACATTAGAGCCAAAATGTTCTCTCAAAATAATGCCATTCAGTGCTTCACTCCAAGCCTCTATGATTTACATGTAATATTTTGCATCCAACTCCCTACACAGGCATTTTGACATGTCCCATCCAGTTCCCCACCTAGACACTCTGGCACGTCATTACCAAATCCCCATGAGGATGTACTGAAGCGTGCCAATCAGTTCCCGACAAGGACAACGAGTGCACCAGTACGTCATGCCAAGTTCAGCCACACAGAAGTAGATATGTCATGCTTATTTTCCCACATGGAGGTACTAATATGTCATACCCAGTTTCCTACATGGACACTGTGATATGCTGCTCCCAGGTCCCCAAACAGACAATGATATAATGCACCCAGTTTCCCACATGGACATTCCAATATACTGCTCCCAGTTCTACACAGACATTCTGATATGATGTGTCAAATTCCCTACACAGATATTCTAATATGTTTTTCCAAGATTCCCACAAAGACATACTGATATGCTACACCAAGCTGAAAAAATTCAAAGTTATACTAAAGCATTCCCACTCCTTTCCACATGTAGTAGCAACACAGAGAACCAGCAGTACAGTACATATTTCAGCTACTTTACATACCAGGTCAAACTTGCTGTACATCTTGCTACTCTGAGAATAACTATAAGAAACTAACCTTCCTGGAGAGTGCGCAAGTTAATGTAATAAGCATCACGTCCTTCCCAACAAACTGCTATGCCCACGATCAGCAACTTAGAGTTTTCAACTACCACACCTGCAACTTCTTGATGACGATGACCTCGTCTTGGGGTGCGACCATGAGCGGCTATTCGCCATCCTGTGGATTCAAAGTCATTGCTTATCTTTCTGTATCTTGAAAAGACAGCCTTAAAAAATATATCTTCTAAATATTTAAACCTTATTCAAATATAAAAGATGTTTGAAAGAACATTTTAAATATATCTTAAAGAATTCTACAAGCTGGTATTAACTAACCATACCATGGCCGGGATTGAACTCGCGGTCAGAGAGTCTCAAAACTCCAGCCCGTCGCGTTAGCGACGCTACAAGAAAAATGAGTGTGGCAGTGAGTCAACATGCTTGTGTGTGCATGCATGTGTGCATGGATGTGTGCATGCATGCATGCGTGTGCGTGCGCGTGTGTACTCACCTAGTTGTACTCATCTAGTTGAGGTTGCAGGGGTCGTGCCCAAGCTCCTGGCCCCGCCTCTTCACTGGTCGCTACTAGGTCACTCTCCCTGAACCGTGAGCTTTATCATACCTCTGCTTAAAGCTATGTATGGATCCTGCCTCCATTACATCGCTTCCCAAACTATTCCACTTCCTGACTACTCTGTGGCTGAAGAAATACTTCCTAACATCCCTGTGATTCATCTGTGCCTTCAACTTCCAACTGTGTCCCCTTGTTACTGTGTCGAATCTCTGGAACATCCTGTCTTTGTCCACCTTGCCAATTCTTCTCAGTATTTTATATGTCGTTATCATGTCCCCCCTATCTCTCCTGTCCTCCAGTGTCGTCAGGTTGATTTCCCTTAACCTCTCCTTGTAGGACATACCTCTTAGCTCTGGGACTAGTCTTGTTGCAAACCTTTGCACTTTCTCTAGTTTCTCTACGTGCTTGGCTAGGTGTGGGTTCCAAACTGGTGCCGCATACTCCAATATGGGCCTAACGTACACGGTGTGTGTGTGTGTGTGTGTGTTCACCTAATTGTGGTTGCAGGGGTCAAGACTCAGTTCCTGGCACTGCCTCTTCACTGATCGCTACTGGGTCCTCCCTCTCCCTGCTCCATGAGCTTTATCATACCCTGTCTTAAAACTATGTATGGTTCCTGCCTCCACTACATCACTTGCCAGACTATTCCACTTCCTAACAACTCTGTGGCTAAAGAAATACTTCCTAGCATCCCTTTCACTCATCTGAGTCTTCAGCTCCAATTGTGACCTCTTGTTTCTGTGTCCCATCTCTTGAACGTCCTGTCTCTGTCCACCTTGTCTATTCCACGCAGTATTTTGTATGTCATTATCATGTCACCCCTCACCCTCCTGTCCTCCAGTGTTATCAGACTGATTTCCCTTAACCTTTCTTTGTAGGACATTCCCCTTAGCTCTGGAACCAGCCTTGCTGCAAACTTTTGCACTTTCTCTAATTTCTTGATGTGTTTGACCAGGTGTAGTTTTCAAATTGGTGCTGCGTACTCCAGTATGGACCCGACGTACACAGTGTATAAAGTCTTGAACGGTTCCTTACTGAGGTACCGGAACGCTATTCTCAGGTTTCCCAGGCGCTCATATGCCGCAGCAGTTATCTGGTTAATGTGTGCTTCTGGCGACATACTCAGTATTATACTCACCCCTAGATCTTTCTCCTTGAGTGAGGTTTGCAGTCTTTGGCCGCCTATCCTATACTGTCTGCGGTCTTCTTTACCCTTCCCCAATCTTCATGACTTTGCATTTGGCAGGGTTAAATTCTGGGAGCCAGTTGCTGGATCATGCGTCCAGCCTGTCCAGGTCTCTTTGTAGACCTGTCTGGTCCTCATCTGACTTAGTTCTCCTCATTAACTTCACATCATCTGCAAATAAGAACACTTCCGAGTCTATCCCTTCTGTTATGTCATTCACATATACCAAGAATAGCAATGGTCCTAGGACTGACCCTTGTGGGACCCCGCTCGTCACAGGCGCCCACTGTGATACCTCATCACGTACCATGGCTCACTGTTGGCTCCCTGTCAGATATTCTCTGATCCATTGCAGTGCCCTTCCTATTATATGTGCCTGATCCTCTAGCTTCTGCACTAATCTCTTGTGAGGAACTGTCGAAGGCCTTCTTGCAGTCCAAGAAAACGCAATCGACCCACCCCTTCCTCTCATGTCGTACTTCAGTTACCTGATCATAAAACTCTAGTAGGTTTGTGACACAGGATTTACCTTCCATGAATCCGTGCTGGCTGTCGTTTATAACCTTGTTCCATTCCAGGTGTGCCACCACTCTCCTCCTGATAATCTTCTCCATGACTTTGCATACTATACATGTCAGTGACACCGGTCTATAGTTTAATGCTTCGTTTCTGTCCCCTTTCTTAAAGATGGGGATCACATTTGCCATCTTCCATACCTCAGGTGGTTGCCCAGTTTCAAGGGATATGTTGAAGATTGTGGTTAGTGGCACACACAGTGTCTCTGCTCCCTCTCTAAGGACCCACGGAGAGATGTTGTCCGGCCCCACCGCCTTTGAGGTATCAAGGTCACTTAGAAGCTTCTTCACCTCCTCCTCGATTGTGTGTATTTCATCCAACACTTGTTGGTATATCCCTTGTTGGTGTCCCTTCTGCCTCCACTGTAAATACTTCCTGAAATCTCATGTTGAGCTGCTCACATACTTCTTGGTCATTTCTTGTGAGCTCCCCGCCTTCTTTACCTGATCCTTGACTGTTGTCTTCCTCCTGATGTTGCTGTAAAGAAGTTTCGGGTCAGACTTAACTTTCAATGCTGTGTTGTTTTTGCACTGCCACTGGGTCTTCCTCCTTATCTGTGCATACATGTACTTGTTTCTGGCTCATAGACTAATCTCTTTATTTTCCTGGGTCCTTTGCCTTCTGCACTTTTTACATTGTCTAGCACACTTAGTTTTTGCCTCCGTACACCTTTGGGTAAACCAAGGGCTCACTCTGGTCTTCCCATTATTTCTGTTACCCTTGGGAACAAACCTTTCCTCTGCCTCCTTGCATTTTGTTTTTACACAGTCCATCATTTCGTTTACTGACTTTCCTATCAACTCTCTCTTCCACTGAACCTTGTGTGTGTGTGCACACGCGTGTGTGTGTGTGTATGTGTGTGTGCATGTGCACACACGTGTGCATGTGTGTGTGCGTGTGTGCGCGAGCGTGTGTGTGCATTTGTGTGCATGTGTGTGTGTGCATGTGTGTGTGTGCACGTGTGTGTGTGCATGTGTGTGTGTGCACGTGTGCATGCGCATGTGTGTGTGTGTGTGTGTACTCACCTAGTTGTGGTTGCAGGGGTCGAGTCACAGCTCCTGCTCCCCGCTACTCAGTCACTCTTCCCGCTCCATGAGCTTTATCATACCTCTTCTTAAAGCTATGTATGGACCCTACCTCCACTACATCACTACCCAGGCTATTCCACTTCCTGGCAACTCTGTGATTGAAGAAATACTTTCTAACATCCCTGTGATTCATCTGAGTCTTCAACTTCCATCTGTGACCTCTTGTTGCTGTCCCATCTCTGGAACATCCTGTCTCTGTCCACCTTGTCTATACCTCTCAGTATTTTATGTCATTATCATATCCCCCCCCCCCTATCTCTCCTGTCTTTCAGTGTCATCAGGTTGGTTTCCTTTAACCTCTCCTTGTAGAACATACCCCTTAGCTCTGGGACTAGTCTTTTTGCAAACCTTTGCACTTTCTCTAGTTTCCTTACACGTTTGGCTAGGTGAGGGTTCCAAACTGGCATTGCATATTCCAATATGGGCCTAACGTACACAGTGTACAGGGTCCGGAATGACTCCTTATTTAGATGTTGGAATGCTGTTCTTAGGTTTGCCAGGCGCCCATATGCTGCAGCAGTTATTTGGTTGATGTGCGCCTCAGATGTGCCTGGTGTTATACACACACCAAGATCCTTTTCCTTGAGTGAGGTTTGTAGGCTTTGGCCCCCTAGACTGTACTCCATCTGTGGTTTTCTTTGCCCTTCCCCAATCTTCATGACTTTGCACTTGGTGGGGTTACACTCCAGGAGCCAGTTTCTGGATCAGGCCTGCAGTCTGTCCAGATCCCTCTGTAGTTCTGCCTGGTCCTCGTCCGATTTAATTCTTCTCATCAACTTCGCATCATCTGCAAACAGGGACACTTCGGATTCTATTCCGTCCGTCATGTCTTTCACAAATACCAGAAACAGCACCGGTTCTAGGGCTGATCCCTGTGGCACCCCGCTCATTACAGGCGCCCACTCTAACACCTCACCATGTACCATGACTTGCTGTTGTCTTCTTGACAGGTATTCCTTGATCCATTGTAGTGCCTTCCTTTTCCCCATTAAACCTGTCTGGTTCCCCCCAGCTTTTCCCACCAAAACTTTTTTTTGGAACTGTGTCAAATGGGCCCTTTTTCATCCAAGAAAAAGCAATCTACCCACCCCTCTCCCCTCGTTTTTACAAACCGTCCCCCTGTCATAAAAAAAAACCCCGAGGTTTTTGACAAAAGGGTTTCCCATTCCCGAAACCGTGCTGGCTTTTTCCCCTTTATAAGCCCATTCCTTTCTAGGTGCTTTCCCCAAAAAACCCCATCCTTTTCCCCCGATAATTTTCTCCATTACCTTGCATACTAATACACATCAGTGACACTGGTCTGTAGCTTAATGCTTCATGTCTGTCTCCCTTTTTAAAAACTGGGACTACGTTTGCTGTCTTCCACACTTCTGGTAGTCGTCCTGTTTCAACAGATTTGTTGAAGGTAGTTGTTAGTGGTACACAAAGTGCCTCTGCTTCCTTTCTCAAGACCCACGAAGAGATGTTAACCAGCCCTATCGCCTTTGAGGTATCTAGCTCGCTTAACACCTTCTTCACTTCTTCCTCGGTTGTATGTACTGTGTCCAACACTTGAAGGTGTACTCCACCTCTCTGCCTTTCTGGAGTCTCTTCTGTCTCCTCTGTGAATACTTCTTTGAATCTCAAGTTGAGCTCCTCACATACTTCTCAGTCGTGACCTCCCCTCCTTCCTTCTTCAGCCTGATTATTTGGTCCTTGACTGTTGTTTTCCTCCTGATGTGGCTGTACAACAGCTATGGGTCAGATTTGGTTTT